ATTAAAGTGAAATTTGGCAAAAAGGTTTCGCATTAGAGAGGGGCATATTTGGCCCCGCCCCCTACTAACTTTTTTGTACACATCTCGAAAACTGCTATAGCTATGTCAACCAAACTCTACAGAGACGTTTCCTTTAGGCATTTCCATATACAGTTCAAAAATGGAAAAAATCGAATAATAACCACGCCCACCTCCCATTCAAAGGTTATGTTGAAAATCACTAAAAGTGCTTTAACCGACTAACAAAAAACGTCAGAAACTCTAAATTTTACGGAAGAAATGTCAGAAGGAAGCTGCATCCAGGCTTCTTTTAAAAATTGAAAATGGGCGTGGCATCGCCCACTTATGGACCAAAAACCATATCTCAGGAAGTACTCGACCGATTCCAATGAAATTCGGTATATAATATTTTCTTAACACCCTGATGACATATACCAAATATGAAATCGGTTCACAACCACGCCTGAAGTCTCGATTATCACTTTATCATGCGAGAGTATAAAATGTTCGGTGACACCCGAACTTAGCCCTTCCTTACTTGTTTTTTACTTAAAAAAGTTTTGTTTTGCCATTTGAATCACATTTTGCATTGAAAGCATAAATTATGTCATACATTGAGTAAGGTTTGATAGTTTTGGGGCATTTGCATTTGTGCAGTATTGCCTTTCACTACGTTTGCATAGCTCCCTTGTGTAGCGTTGTCTTTAGGATTTACTGGTTTTGAAATATGGACGGGGATTTCAATATTTTCATTAGGAGGAATATTCAACATTTTGTTACGACGTGCCTATATGCCCTGTGACAACTTCGATTTCAAATCCTTATAACAGTTCAACCCCTGTAGTTAGCAGTGTGATTTCCTCCACAATTGCTCTATTTTTTATTTAAATCCTCTTTTTTAAGAGATCATTTTGAGGTAGGATGCAGATCACACCACACAGACACTGGGCAATATGATTTCGTGTGTCCATACTCTTGGCAGTTTGTGCATCATTTATACATTTCTCTTATGTGATTCCTCAGCGGTGATTCTGCAGATATTTTAAATTTTCAATCATTTTTCGTTAGTTAGTTAGAATTTTTAATAATTTTTAATACCAAAATCGCATTCTCCCAATGCTTCTTTGACTTCACTAGAGTCTACGGCGGACTCTATACCCTTAATTACAACAATTAGGCCCTTAGAGCTCTTCAGTTGATACGAATAATAAGTCTTGCTTTTATTTGACAAAAGTTTAAAGATTTCCATAAACTTTTTTCAGTATATTACTGAAGTTTCATCGATATTGCCTTTTTTCTAAGGCACTATTTGAAAATTGTTAGTACCTAAAATGTCACTTAATTTCGCAACAAGTGTTTACTGCTGCGCTTGCGCAAATATATTGGAAGTGGCTTGGCATTAACGACTGTGGTGGTACCCTTCGCATCGTTGACTGAACCGTTGCTTAGTACGGCAAATTTGTTGCCATTTAGAATTTCTGGCTTTTTCTAATTTGGCGTGCTTGGCTGACATTTTTTGGTATTGACCGCGGATTTAACTGGACTTAATTTAAAGAATACCTAAGGCCTTGCTGGAGAAGCTGAGCGGCACTCATTCTTCTTTGTTTATCCTTTTCTCTTTTGTTTTTACTTTTTGTTTCTATTTAATAATTTTTTTTGTTTTTCAATTTTTGCTTGTTTGCTTTTTCTAAACACAGAATACATGGAGCGAACACACCATTTATGTATAGCTTCAAAATTAAGGAATCGACTTGCAAAATGAGAATATTTAGTTTATGCATTTACCATCAATGTCGTTTGCTTCACAACGCCAAACTTGACCAAATGCACCTTCACCCAAAATATTGAAGAATTTAAGTCGGTGCCTCGGGAACTCCCAACAACATTTGCCATTCATATTAAAGGTTGAGTTATTAACTGCATTTTGGGAGGCATTTTTCGAATAACTAATAACATTATCAGTAATACTTTGTAAACCACTAATGTTATTTGTCACATTAGTRTCGTCATCGTGTATAGCTCCGTTGTTAGCATTTGACGACAGTTGTGATGTTACCTATTTTTTGTGTATACAAAAGTATAGTATTATCATTAGTAAGAACATTTTGTACAAGTACGTAAAATACTATTATATTAAATATTCTTACCAATCCATTCTGTTGAGGATCTCTCTCCCATGGCACGTAGCGATTGTTGTAAGCAGTAGGGCCATTCCAATGTTGCATTACCATTGAGTTTGTGCTATTGTCAGCTAAATTGTTACTTAGATTGTCTTGTTTAGATTTCTTAAACATTTCCTCTTTGGATTTTTTTTTTAATTTTTTGCTAATGGCGCACAAATGTTTTCGATATATAAAACCAAAAATGACAATTGCTACCAAAAATATGCATGAAGAAGTAAATATAATTGGAAGCACAATTGTTTTTGTCGAATATTTAGTACTCAAATTTTCATCGTATGGGATCTTATCATCTAATATTTTTATGGAATCATCATTGACAGTGATGGCAGATTGATTTTTATTAAGATGTAAAATTGAGTCGTTTTTATTGCTTTTGTATTCATGTTGAATGTTAGTCTCTCCGTTGACAAAGTGCTTATMATTGCTTTGGTTTATTGGCGTCAATTTCAAACGACTTGTTGGTCGTGTTTGTTCATTGTTATTGCTATTAAGCGGGGGTAAAAATTTGTGCTTAKGATTCAATTCAAATAAACCYTGATTGGAATCGMAATTTAARGGTAARTGATTGKKTGSACKTTCTTTCGAATATTTAYTTYGTWCTGACTGTACTCCTGGTAAGGTGTCAAAAGGTGGTAGGATTTGAGAAATATTTTGTACAACATTCGTAACTGAGGGTGGCGTGCGAAAATTCGAAGAGGTATCGTTCTCCTTAACGAGGATATTAACAAATACTTCATTTTTAGCAGTTAAGTCTCCATCTGTTACAGTAATATATAGAAAAAAGTTTTCGCCACCCTGAAAAAAAATATGCGTTTCTCTGAGTTTATTAGATGCAATATTGTAAAGAGTAATTTTTATTAGAAATATAGAATTTGTGCAATATGAAAGTTATTACAAAAAAAGATAAATTACTACTCGTATACATGAAAAAGAACACATATATCACTTATACTCTACATAATAACTTACTCTCCCAACCAAACTTTCGTTCAAGTAAACTATTCCTCTGACTGAATCTATACGAAAAGGTAAATTTTCCTTATCATTATTATTGTCAAAATTTGATAAAAAATGTGGTTCGAGGCCAAAAACCAGCTCATCGTTTTCTGGATCTTCAGCACGGATTCTAGTAATAATTTGGCCAACAGGTTCGGTTTCCGGTATTCTCCAGTTCCTTTCAGGCACATAGAGTATTGGAGGTGTATTTAGCAATGAAGTGCTTGCTACACAAATATATTAAAATAAAAATTAAAATGTAAATATTTACTAATGTTAAATATTTTTTATTGTATATTTGTATGTATTTTACTAATGTTAAGTATTTTGTAGTACAATTCGTAACATGCGATAACTCACTAATTAAAAATACTCAGCTCAGGAATTATTCGATCAATTTCAAACTATATAATGGGTTATAACATTAATCTAACACGTTGAGTACGGCGTAGCCCCCAAAGGTGTCATCTGGTGTGACGCTGGCTTTGATTCAGAACTAATTTTTGTTAAATAAAATAGAATAATTTGGTATCAAAACAAATTTTTAAATATATTTATTAATATTTGTGTTTTGTTTTTTTTTTTTGTTTTAACTATCACTACTACTAAAAGTTGCGCAGTCCTCAACGTGTTATATACCAATCAAATTATTAGACTTAAACCTTGCAACCTTTTAATAGCAGCTTCTAAGAACGGAGACATCGGCTAAATAATTCTTAAGCCCCCATATAAATGTAAATATTTTCGAACGTGCAGATTGCTTTCCTCTTAATATGGTATATCTGTCAGTATGTGAGTAATATTTTTACAATTCCAAGACCATTTTTTACTGGTAATAATATGCGTTTACGCAAAAAATGTGTAAAACGGCCCAATACTACCCGAGCTGAAATTTCGTTATGTGCGCTCATAACGTTCTAACCGCAGCACTGAAAGACACACAGGGAATTCTTTAGTACTGCAGAAGGTAGGGGTAATGTAAATATTAAAACGAGTATATGATAGAAAATCAGCAGAATTTTTGAAAATCTTGCATACCTAATATACATATAATATACAGGTTTGTATGGTATTCATCATATTTTATCCACTTTTGACAAAAATCACACACAAGATACGTTTAATTAATTTCGTAAATATAACTAATACATATGTATATAAACCCATATATGTATGTATGTATATCTCTACATCTTATAAAATAAAGCCTTAAAATGTGTATGTTACCTCACAGCTCAGCTAAATCAGAGAACGTAAAGTATAGAGAAGGTGCAGGTTCGACTGCGAACATTTGTTAGATTTATAGTAGGGAATTCACCTCATAACAACAGAAGTCACGCTGTTAAATTTTAACAGTTCTCCACATATTCAACTCAGAATATGAAGAGAAATAAATATATGTATTTACGGCATATGATGAAATGGCATATATGC